GACAGAAGGAGGTAAGGGGGCAAAAAAGCCCCCTTGGCTGAAACAGGGAACTCCAGGAGAGTCTGGGGGCAAAGAAAGAGATGTATAGGCAATGGAAGCAGGGAGCAGCCACCAAGGAGGAATCTCTCTCCCTGGCACGCTATTGCAGGGAATCAATTAGACAGGCCAAGGCGGGGCTTGAGCTCAGGCTGGCTTCAACAATCAAGGACAATAAAAAGTCCTTTTTCAGGTATATAGCGGGCAAAAGGAAAGCTCAGAGCAACGTAGGGCCCCTGCAGGACAAATCAGGACAGTTGGTGGTTGACGCAGGGAAAAAAGCAGAGCTCTTCAATAAGTTCCTTGCTTCAGTATTTCTATGTACCGACCAAGCCAATTCCCCCACCTTGATCATTGACGGATGTCCACATGGCACCAGTCCTCCTACGGTTAGTTCTGAAATAGTTAAGGAGCTCCTGGAGGAGCTGGATGGGTACAAGTCAGCAGGTCCAGATGACCTCCATCCAAAGCTGCTGAAAGAATTGGCCAGTGTCATAGCTGAGCCGCTGGCACAGCTGTTCAAGCACTCGTGGTGCTCTGGCCAGGTCCCTGAGGACTGGAGAAGGGCCAATGTGGTGCCCATTTTCAAGAAAGGGAGAAGGGATGAGCCGGGTAACTTTAGACCAGTCAGTCTTACCTCTATTCCTGGGAAAATGCTAGAGAATATAAATCAAAGAACACATTTGTGCAGGCCCAGCAAGGGAAACGATGCTGAGGGGAAACCAGCATGGGTTTGTCACAGGCAGAGGCTGCCTGACAAACCTTGTAGCCTTCTATGACCAGGTCTCACACTGCCTAGACATGGAAACCGAGGCTGATGTCATCTTCCTGGACTTTAGGAAGGCCTTCGACACAGTTTCGCACCCTATCCTCATTGGGAAGGTAGCAGACTGTGGAGTGGACACCTACACAGTCAGGTGGGTGGCTAACTGCTGATGATACCAAGTTATGGGGCAAAGTTAGTACACCGGACGGCAGGGAGCAGATTCAGGCTGACCTGGACAGGTTGGATTAATGGGCAGAGAGAAATAGGATGCAATTTAATAAAGATAAATGTAAGGTACTCCACCTGGGAAGGAGGAACCCCCATCATGCCTATAGGTTGGGGAGTGTCCTTCTCAGCAGCTCAGAGACAGAGAGGGATCTTGGAGTCATAATTGACTCCAAGATGAACATGAGCCGGCAGTGTAACGAAGCCATCAACAAGGCCAATCACACCTTGTCATGTATTAGCAGGTGCATGACTAATAGATCAAAGGAGGTGATTCACCCCCTCTATGCGGCACTGGTCAGGCCGCAGTTGGAGTACTGTGTCCAGTTTTGGGCGCCGCACTTCAAGAGGAACGCGGGGAATCTCGAGAGGGTCCAGAGGAGGGCCACTCGCATGATTACTGGCCTTCATGATAGACCCTACGGGGGGAGGTTGAGAGAGCTGAATCTCTTCAGCCTTCACAAGAGAGGGCTGAGGGGAGATCTTGTGGCCGCCCATAAATTGATTAGGGGAGGTCAACAGAGAATAGGGGAAGTGCTGTTTACTAAGGCACCCCAGGGAGTGACTAGGAATAACAGGTGTAAACTAGTTGAGAGTGGATTTAGGTTAGCTATTAGGAAGAAATTTTTTCACAGTAAGGGTGGCCAGGATCTGGAATGGGCTTTCAAGAGAAGTGGCGCTATCATCTAGCTTGGAGGTCTTCAAGAAGAGGCTAGATAGTCACCTGGCTGGGGTCATCTGACCTCGGTCCTGCCAGGGGCAGGGGGTCAGACACGATGATCCGTTGTGTTCCCTTCCAATTCTACAGTCTATGAATCTAAGAAGCTCCAGAGCATACTATATCTGTGCAGGGGGGACCCCCATTCAACCAATCCATGCTTTGGTTTCCTGACCTGTAAGAGGGGGATAATAATACTGACCAAACTTGTAAAGCATTTGAGACATCAGGAGAAGTAATGGGCCCTGTGAATTGCTACCACAGTTGAAGACACTGAGCGGGTACTCACAATGAGTCTCAGTTAAATAACATAGTTATATCATTAATATAGTTTCTATTCTCAATTGTAAGGGGTGGTCTAACAATGCTGGAAAATGCTTAATGGAAAAAGTGTAGCAATCTCTCTCTATGGCAGGATCACCAGCACTCACAGGTTAGCCAGGCTTTTACTACCTGTCCATCAGGATCCTACAGACAATATAGACAGTCATATATTTCAATATCTTCCTAAAGTCTCTTTAAACTTCAGAGAAAATCCACAAACCAGAGTGCCAACCATGCCAATTAAGCACACTTAATTACAATTAATGAAATCTGACAGATTGGAATGACCTCAGTTGTAAAGATATGCCTTCCTCCATTTGGAAAGGCAGCAATTGGGATGATATTAATAAGGGCTGGTCTTTACATCTGAAGTGAAATGAAATTCAAGGATAATTGGTACAATTTGTTAAGAAGTGACAATTTAATTATTGGCAGGCTTACTCAGCCTGGACAGAGACAAACAGAGGAAAGAGATTGGATTGCATAAATATTTAGGTGTGCCAAATAGGTCACAGCCTTCTTCTGAAAGGAAAGAAAGAGATTGGCTTTCTGGACCTGGTTCAGTATCATTTGGAACTGGTTTATCACAAGATTAAGCACTGGTTCCTTCCAGAGTGGAATCAATAGAATTGGATCAACTCAACTGGCTAGAAACCAAAATGAGACATTAGATTTCTAAAATAAAAATAACTGTGGTGGATCGATTATATTGTGTTCTGTTCTACTTTAAAAAAAAGACACAGACTGGGTCCAGACATGTAGTCACATGCATTTCCCCAGGGACAAACAGCAGTGGCACAATATGTGCCGCTGCTACTTGTCCCCTGGGAACATGTATGCATGTGCACTCTGATGCATGGCAAGTTACCCTGGGTGGGGTAACAAAGGCTGGGGGGAGCCCCTCGGCTGTCTCCAGCAGCCTTACCTGCCCCTCTATATCTGTAGAAAAGTTTCTAGATATTTGACTGCAATTTACTTCACATATCTTCATTATCTACTTTGGATTAATTTGTTCTAGCAAACATACTTCCAAGATTTTTAAATCAATTGTTAAGCAAATGAAGGAAAATACCCTCGAGAAGTACATTTTGAACTTGCAAATACTAGGTAACCAATTATAGACTTAAGACTGGTAGGTCTTATAAGTCCATCTACAAGTCCACCCATAAGAACATCAGTATATTACTACGTCATTTATGCATCCTATTAAAACTATCAGAACTGAATCCTAAACTGCCTTTGAAATATCTATGAATTAAAAATTCTTTGAAGAAATTTTTTCTGTGACTAACTGGACAGTGACCAGTTTCTAAAGCATGTGTCTAAAAATACAGAGTAGATACAATTGTGAACTGCATCTCAACAATTGATAGACTGGAAACAAAGTTAAATTCACTGCACGAATTAGTTGCCGCATTGTGGACTGTGTCCTGGTTAAGATCTGTCAGGCTGACCACATCACACCGATCTCTTTCTGCTGTGGCACTTTTGGAGGTGACTAATTTGATTTCTAGGACATCAGCAAAGAAAAAAAGATGTCTCAATGCACCACAAGAGTGACATCAAATTAAATGAATCAGTGAAACAAAGTCTAGCAACAGAAGGCAAAGCTTAATACTGTACTGTCCACAAACCACAGACATAAGGCTAGAAGGGATCATTAAGATCACTTTGCACAACAAAATCTTCTATAATAATTCCTTCGTTGATTCTAAATTTTATGGCTGAGCTGAAGGGTATGTTCTAGTCATTCAATTTTGCTTCAAGTGATGAAGAATCAAACACATCCATTGGTAAATTGTTCTAATGATCATTTATTAAGGCTGGTAGAAAAAAAACCCAAAAAACACACAACCCACTGAAAACAGCTTCTAGATAGAACATTGGGATTTTGACCCAACATTTCAAGTCAAGGTTTCACTTAGAGGACTTAGAAACACTGTTCACCTTTTTGTAAGCACCTCGTCCCTCCTTTGCTTGATCCAGATCCAGAGGTAGCGTTCCAATCACAATCCTATTCACACAGCAAAGAGCAGCTGTGCCCAAAAGGAAAGAGTAATGAGGGGATAACCTGCATGACTTCTCTAGCAATATAGGTAAAACTCTGTTGAAAACCCAAGGCAGCATTTGGAAGTGCTGTCAGAGAATGAGCACACTTCACATGGCTGGTTTTTCTGGGAGGAAGAGTGAATCAATTATGCCAAGACTGAAATGAATCTCATGGGCACATCTCAATGGACAGAAAGAGCATTTCCTACTTCAATCACATAACACTGTACCATAGCTCTGTCACTTTGTTTTATATAGTACTGCTGACACTAGCTAACATAGAAACTAATGGAGCTAATGTGTTCTCAAGTGAGTTGGTATCATGTCCAGAGGTTAAGGCCATGGCATTATTGATGGGGCTGAATGGAGAAGTTGATTGAAAAACTGCAATGGCCTTTGGAAGAAGAGAACTAGTTGTAAATAAATTTGTAGTGGGCTCCTAATCAGAGTACCAATAAAATTTCAGTCTTGTGTCCTTAAACCTTCATGCTTTCCCTTCACACACATTATTTTCCAGTAGATAAAAGTTTTCTAGTACAAGTTTAGTGGCCCTTTGGGGAGGACTCAGCTGTGTGCATGGATATACAGGCACAAACACAATGGATATGCTTAATGTAGTTTCAAAAATTAGGTAGTGTAAAGTATGCAACTGTGAATGTGCATATTGAAGTTTCCATAGATATAACCTCAGGACTACAAATGTAAGAACACAGTCCTAAAGTTAAATGGATATATTGTTATATCAAAGCTCAGAGAAGGGAAGGGAAGAGGCAGAAATGAAAGGACACAGATGACAAAACCCTAGCACACAGTAGGAAAAGACAGTTGGATCAAACCAAACATAGTACAATTTTTTATTTTTTTTTTAAATTAAGCCTAACTGTCTCTAATCAAATACATTCCTTTGGTAGAGAATTATAGTATTTGAAAGCAAACAATGCACACTTTACAAATTATACCTGCATTAGTGGAAATGAATTCTGCTTTTCAACATAGCTCCTTCCTTCAGAGAATTGGAACTAGTAACAAAAAGAGTCCCCTTTGGTCAATAACAAAATGATGCTGGCTGCATACCTTGTTTTCTTCCTTGGACATCAAAGCCTACTGTTCTTCAGTGTGTATTTAATGGAGCAGAGACTACATATTACACAGGAAACTGTGCCACTCCAACTCTGCATGGTGGATCTCATCACGGCCCCTGCTGGACCATTCTGCACAATGTGCCACTGAACATCAGTGGGAGGTACAGGCAGGCAGGGAAAGTCCGAGTGGACCATGCGAGAACTTTGATTAAGATTGCTTTGGGCCATGCTTTATGTTTCCCTGCACTTCTGAAGTGACTCTCTAGGTGGCGGATGATACCTTAGCTAATGAATTTTTTGTTAAGTCCATGATATTTTCTTAGTAGCTGTCTGTGTGTTTTTTGATCCAACTTTATACTCCAAGGCTGAATAATCACATGGGTCAAATTTCACTCAAGAGGAGAATACATATTAGTTCCTAAGCAATCCCATAGACCTCACTGGCGGTATTCAGAGAATAAGGAATTCCACAAAAGTAGAATAAGGATGGCAAAATCAGACCCAAGACTTTGTAAGGCATTCTTTTTGTACGTTTATTTTCATGTTCAATCCCTAACCTAACCTTGCTGTCAAAGCCACCTGTGTCAGTTCAGGCTGCTTTCCGCAGATACTACTGGGATTGAACCTTATGGGCTCATTGAACATCACTGCAGTTTTTACTGTTCAGTATCTGCCAGAACTCTATTAACCACTTATTAGAAGACGTGTGACAGTATTGCAAGTGACATCATCGCAATGTGTACTGATTGGTCTGGTCATTGGTGTCTTAGTAGATAGGACAAGAAATACATGAGTCATGTTGGTCTTTCTCCAACTTAGAGGTGACTCCTTCAATGGAGGAATATAAGTGAGGCAGTATGGAAAAATCTGCTCATTGCTAGCACCATACTAGATCTATCTAGGTTTTTCCTGTAACACTTAGGCACTAGGTCTGTAGTCTCTAGGTATGTGATTTCATCAATTTTCTGAAGTACTAATGTTATTTTGAGAAAGTCAATACATTCATAGCTAGTATAAATCACCATCATTCCACTAAGGTTAGTGTGGACAATCATAAATAGTGTCACTGCATTGGGTTACTAGTACAATGTCCATCTTGCGATGATGATTCAAAAAGCACTTTCTTTCAAAGTGGACAAATGTATGCACATGTGATTGTTCGTGCCAAACTGGGAAAAATGAACTCCTAATAATCTCAAGGTACAGCTTCTCATAGTAAAGAGTTGTCCCACTGTCCTGGACCAGAGTACCTCAGCTTCACGATATATAATTCCTCCTCAGGGATAGCCACTGCCTTTCAGTGGATTGGTACAAAAAAAAGGATAGGTAAATCTTTGGAATCCTTCCTAATGAAATATGCCTCTCTGAATTTAAACTTTTCACAATAGCATCAGCTGTATTACGCGCACAAACAAGGCTTTAACATCCCTTCCCTATTATTCTGTTTGCCAACATTTCTACAACCTTTTTTCATGTGAGGACTGGTTGTGGGTCTATTATTCAACTACTAATCTGGAGTTCAGAGGACTGGTTTTTATCTATTAGCTTCCTTTTAACCTAGCCAGCTTTGGCAAGTCCTACCAGAAATAAAAATTCCCCACCAGAATATTGATCAGAGTCACTGGAACACACAAGCCTTACGGGCATCTCAAAGCAGAGTCCCCATAGGCTCCATAACAGCAAAATATTTATTACAAATCACCCGTATGATCCCATACACATGCAAAAACATCAAAATGTGCACCCAAACACTATAACAAAAACAAAATGCCTGTCCTGCTCCATGTGCTCTTAATTACCCTAATATTTGATAATATACTGAGTTTATTGTTAGTTCTACATCACGTCGTATGCCCTTGATTTGGTGCTGTACAAAAGCCCTTCAGGGTTCAGTTTGAGAAAGGCATTTGGAAGCCAATCCCTGCAAGCTGGTTCATAGCACCTGGGAGCACGCCCACCCATACAGGGTAATTTAGAGAGCTGGGAGCAGCTCCTCCTCTGGTTTTAGTCAATGTTGCTCTATTGACTTCAGTGGAAGTACATTAAGGCAAAAAGAGGTTGTTTTGTTTTTTGTTTTTTTTGTTTTTTACTTTCTGCTTTGGCTTCCTGGATGTCCAATCAGAGCCCATTCAGAATAAACTATTGCAGAGGATAGGGCAGGTTTGCACCTTCTAGAACAATTAAATCAGAGATGCACAGCACAAGTTATAAGCCCAAGCTTAGGTCATCAGATGTTGTAAAAGGCCATGCACAGAGCAGTGTACCAAATAGAGAGAGTGATTTGAATATGAAACATATGGAAGGGAGGGAGAGAGGGAGCCAAGTTTGGCAAGTTCACAGGAGTTTGAACTTGGGTGTAAACATTTCACGGTTTCACTTGCAACTTATCCTGCTGCTTTCTAGAAGAGGTACAATTCTTGTGTGGCTGCTGCTTCTCAGCCTAACTTTTGAAACTGTTGAAAAGTTATTCTTTAAATTGCACCTGCATATTATGGACTAGCTTCATATTTGGCTTCTGGGAGTTTGCTTAAGCATTAAGTCTACTTAAATAAAACAATTAATTGTGCTAGATGTTTGTTTTGCTTTCTCTTCTAATCCCCATGAACTGCCAAAGCCATGGTAAATTATCTAAGCCAATGGGATGTGAAAGTTTGTACAACATCATTGGGACACTGTCCATTGCAAGTACAGCAAATAAGCCCTTATAAAGGCAGGACATACTCAAATCGCGATTTCACAGAAATCACAAAATCAGGTGATCTCTGCAAAATCTATGGGGGAACAAAAAAAAACCTTAATAAAAATCAATCTTGGCTCCCTAGTGGAAGGCAGCAGTCCTCCCAGGGGGACGGGGAGAGTGGGACTGCCTCACTGCTGAGTCGCTGAGAAAGCTGTCTATTTTATGGTCCTGCCCCTCTCTACCAATCAACAGCAAGGGGTAGGGGCTGCATGACAGGCAGCACTCTTAGCCAATCAGCAGCAAGGGCCAGGGCCATATGAAAAACAGCCCTCTCCAGTCAGTGGGGGCAGGGAGCACTGGGCACCCCAGCCAATCAGAGGCATGGGGGGCATGATAAGCCCACAAAAAAAAAAAAAGGCTGCTGGCCCTGTGATCTGCCCACAAAATTGGCCAACTACCTCCTCGAGTTGAGTAGGCCTCTATTTATAGGTGCTGAACCATTCCCCCATTTTCAGCTTTTGTAATAAGAGAGATAGGAGGACGAAGGCTCCTTGAAAAGAATAGAAAGCATTTGTAGCCCAAGAGTTGCTTCTCCAGCAACTCTGCTGATATTCTGGAATACGATAGCCCTCTTGCTCTGAAGACGTGCACTGAAAAAAAAAAATCCATGATTGGTGCATGTTTCCGCTGCATGCGAAATACCTCTGTACAAGAATAAAACAATTCCCACGTCATGAATGGCACAAGGATGTTTACTTACTAAAATGCGCCCCCGACAAAACAATCCTTCAAATACCTGTTCTTGAAAGACATCTCAGCCAAAGTTTGTGGCATGCATTTGACATTTCAGTCTACTAAATCCCCCACCAAATGCAGTAGAAACATCAGGTGTATTATGTAATTGCTCTGAAACAGCATTGGAAAGCCTTATAAAATCTATTTACTGACATTGCTATAGTGTGCATCATTGCCAGGAAACAGGGGATTTAAACATAATGGATAGTGAAATTCATGTCAGCTTGCAGAGAAGATTATGGTGAGAGAATCAGAACACTGCAACTAAATTAGTATAAGACTTACTTCATTCTCATACTTGTTCTTCCAGGTGGCATGGGTGTTGATGTCAGGGGAATATCGACCAGCGAGCAAGTGGCAGAACCAAGACTCCCGAGTTCTTCCAGCTTTTTATATTGACTTGTTTTGTCACCCCAGGCAAATGATTTACATTCTATTCAAACCTCTGCAAATATATACAATATTTAGAGCTCAAATGGGGTTCATTAGAAGGCTTGTGCAAGTACACTCATCTGAAAAAGGTTCCATGCATGTAAAATATTATAATCATTACACATTGACTTTTAATATTGCCTTTGGATAGATTACAGTTATTTCAAACCACAGTTCTGCATCTAAAGCATCCTAAATCTGGAGAAACTGGACCTGGATCTAAAACAGATTTTGTATTTGGTGTCTCACTTTTTATGGGACCAAAACAAAACCCATGACAGACCACATTTATCTTTGAGGTGAATCTGGTCTTTACAGCTCTGTTCCATATCTTCATTCTCATGTGAATGTATAGTTGTGTGTGTATTTGTGTGTGCAAACATGCACATATTTCATTGCTTTTTTCCCCCAAACTGGACTCCCTCAATTACGACTAATATCTATGCACGATTACATAATTAACTTTCCAGAGCAAGACTGAGGCTACACAATTAAACTATTAAGTGAGATTATTCAGCAGTTAATATTTACCATATAAATTCTCATCTGAGATTTTTCCTCTTTGCTTCTATGTCCCTCCAGTTTTTAAATAGTTTGTAAAAAATAAGTTGGAGCACTAAAAGACAAGAGACAAATGAAAAGAAATGAAATAGGTAAGATCCCTTGTATTCTTTTGTCCAAAGCCTTCTCAGGTGGAACCTTTTACATTTGTGCACCTCTAACATAGACACACACTCTGTGTGTCACTGAGCCGCTGCTTCAGCCTTGTTGTGTTAGTTGTCAGCAAACAACCACATTAATATTCCAATGATTTATCTGCAGGATGAATTAGGCTCTCACTGGATTGCTGAATACATCTGGACTAGCCTAATGAGCACATTCTTCACCATCAGAGAGGCTGTAGAGGGCTTACAAATATTTTAGGCATGAATCACAAAGCCAAGAGGTCTTGTTTACTGATATGCTATTTATACCTAGCTCAATTAAGCCACTTTCAGAAAAAAAACCCAAAAACACCAACCATCAAGGATGCCAACACTGGCACGGCTGTTGGAAGTGAGTATCTCCTCATTAAAAAGGTTAGAAAAACACCATTAATAATTTTGATGGTTTCTCTTAGGCATTTTTGTGTCCCAGTCTTTGTCTGACTGCATAAAGCATCATATATTATATGCTTCTGACAGCAGAAGAAATCAATTAGAGTTTAACCGTTCTCTATAGTGAACAATTTTTAATGCTCTGTCTTTTCAGATGTGAGCCTTTCCCTCCCAGCCCTTTTCTGACAATCACCCGCACTCTCAGTGGAGTTAATAATCATTAAATCTCTCTTACCAGGTCAAGGTTAGTCCAAGGAGCTATGAAAGGTGCATCTCTGACGGGAATAGATTGTGGTTGGTCCCTTCACAGAAGTTCAGGATTCAGTACACTCAGTTGTTTGACTGGACACAGGCGTAGTCTTTTAATGTTACATGGGATGGGGATAAAAAAAAGCACTGACAGTAAAAAGGACAGACGACATCTTCTTAGTTATGTGGCAGCATTTATCTTGGAATTTGTGGAATACTGGGGACACAAAGTAGACCTGTACTTTAAAGCCATAGTTAGGCCCCAATATTCTGGAAATCCATCCAAAAGTTGAAAGAAGAACTTCATGGAAATGGGGAAAATAGTCACTGAGATTCTCATGAAAGCAATGCTTTTACCCCTAGCTTTTTGGTATTTCCCGCTTCACAGAAAATGAGAACTAAGAAATGGAAAAAGCCTATTTAATCATTAGATCAAACTCTGCCAATGAAGAGTGCTTCCTGGCAGTACAAGCTTCTACCTCAGCTGCTTTTAGCACCTCGTTCCTACTAATATCAGACAGAGGAGAAAAGCCTCATGAAATATTTATCTGGGGAAAGACCGGATTGAGTCTTATTTTGTCAAAATGCAGCCTTGGCCTTTAGTCTCCCGAGCTAATACACAGCAAGGATTCTGGAAGACTGAACTTACGCTGAGAAATAAACATCTCTTCATTTGGATGAGGACTGACAAGAGAGACAAACCAATTTTACTGTCAAATGTCCGTAAGATTCACGGCCCAATTTTGAAGGCCTTACACTGACAAATGCATATATAAAACAGTCCAATAGCAGTTAGGTTACTCCTGGGAGAATTACAAGTTCAACTCTGCATGGGTAAGTGTTGTGGAAATGGGCCAAAGGTAATTAAGGTCTGTTTTTCTCTGTATGTTGGAAAGTAGCTAACAGTTGTCTCTTGTCTACTACCTACTGGAAATTGATTTTGTGTTCCCCGACCTTGTTTTTAAAATGCCTCTCATTCCCTTGCTGCTAGCTGTCAGCTACTACTGACTGGTATTTGCTGTTTCTGAACTGCTACATCAACCAGCTTGCCCTGGTTTCTTATGAGTCCCTGATAGAGAAGAACTTAATACATTCTCAATGCTCAGTAGTTTTCTGAGTATATAGTACAGAGGCAGAGAAATAGGCAGTTATATAAATTGGTAGATGCACCAAAAAAAAAAAAAAAAAAAAAAAAAAAAAAAAAAAAAAAAAAAAAAAAAAAAAAAAGAGAGATAAAAGAAGAGATATACAATTATTAACAGAAAACAGTGGACGCCAAAGACCAGATCAATACCGATAAACCCAGACTTCATAAGTAACCAGAAAATGCCAAGCTACATAGTGGTATCTTCAGATAGTCACTGGTATATCTTAAAAGAGCAAGCCAAAGATCTCCATGACAATACCAAACACTTTTAAGATCTACTATATTCTGATTCCACCAATTTTCAACATCAGTGCTATTCATTGTGCATCAGGTGTTTTTAAGAGTGAGCCCCTTTTACCAATTAGTGAGACAAACCTCAGAAGATAGTCAATGAACAGACATTGGGATAATGCAGACATTACCACGTAAAGTAGAACAACATAAGGAAAGGGTCTCAACATTTCCTCTGAATGCTCTATATAGTAGGGCTGGAGTGTTTTTGTAATCATGATGGTCCAGTCCATGGAATGTATAAAAGGGTTGGTTTTTTGTAATATATTTTATTAGAGTAACTATAGTTGGTATAGTTGGGAGAGAGAATTATACAGTTAGTCCAATAAAAGATATTATTAAAAACCTTCCACCTCTCCTTCATTTTATAAGATACATTTCACATTATAACTGACAAGAGAGAGGATTCCTTTCGATGGGGTTGAACTTTCTACCCTTCTATGTTTGTGTAATGTTACCTAAAAGACATGAGACTGCCACTTTGTATAGGTCACTTTTATACAGCAAAATCTAATGAAAAGCCAACACTAATGTGTTTAGCATATTCCACCCCTTTCTGATGGAAGGATCCTAAAACACTTCAAGAACTACAAAGTATCACCAACTCAGAAAGACAGCTAATGACAAAATGAGTGCAGCAGCCAACTGGCTCATGGCAAGGAGTAAGACAGTTTCGTCAGACAGTCCAACTTTCAAAAAAGCATCATAACATCCAGCATGCCTAAATTTTCCAGACAGATGGGACCAAATGGGTCCTAGATGGGTATACACATTAGGAGTGTGTGAAGCAGGCCCTATTTGATTCGGCCCAAATCAGGGACAGCGATTCAATTGGTTGATTCGGATCACTGTTCCCAATTTGATTCGGCCGAATCTGAACTGAAGATTTAATGCCAATTCAGAGAATGAGCTATTTGGACATAGACACAGCTTAAAAATGTTTCATCTATATACCTTGAGGTATCAGCGTGACTTGTGAATGCTACAATGCCGGGGTGCATGGAGTGTCCCACAGGAGTGCACGGGGGGGGTGGGGGTGGCCTCCACATTCTTGGCAGCAAACCCAGAAGTGGAACAGAAATACTTCCAGTCCACTGGAGAGCACGCAGGGGAACACCCTTGCGCCCCCCCCCCCCGCCCCCACCCTCCATATCGGCCCCCCCCCACCCCGGGCCTGCCTATCGGCTGTGGGGAGACCCCAGGTGCACCACCCAGACCCAGGAGACACCAGTTGCTGAGCTGGGAAGGGCACTGGGGGGGACTCCCAGCTGGTCCACTGGGTTTGCCAAGGAGTGTGAAGTGCTTCTGTTCCACTTCTGGGTTTTCATAGACATTAGGGCTGGAAGGGACCTCGGAAGATCATCGAGTCCAGCCCTCTGCCCAAAGGGCAGGAAGTCAGCTGGGGTCATAGGATCCCAGCAAGATAAGCATCCAGTTTGCTCTTGAAGGTGTTCAATGTAGGTGCTTGAACCACCTCCGGTGGCAGGCTGTTCCAGACCTTGGGGGCTCGGACAGTAAAGAAATTCTTCCTTATGTCCAGCCTGAAACAGTCTTGTAGTAGTTTATGACCGTTCGAACTAGTCATCATCCTTTGGGGCGCTCTGGTGAACAAACGTTCCCCAGATGCTGGTGGTCACCCCTGATAAACTTATAGGTGGCCACCAGATCACCCCTGAGCCTGCGCTTTTCCAGGCTAAGGAGCCCCATGGCTCTTAGCCCGTCATTGTAGTGTCTGCTTCCCTGACCTCTGATCACGTGCGTGGCTCTTTTCTGGACTCTCTCAAGCTTCTCCACATCCTTTTTGAAATGTGGAGCCCAAAACTGGATGCAGTACTCCAGCTGCGGCCTCACCAAGGCCGAGTACAAGGGGAGAATGACGTCCGGGGATTTGCTTGAGAAGCATCTA